TTCAGGGCTGTCTTGGGATGGGGTAGGGAGTTTCATCTTTCTGGAAGTTCCAAACATTTTATCGCACCTCGCAGCTTGAATTATCAAAGATTCCAGTGTACCTCTCATGGGGAAAGCGCTGATATATTATAACCATATCTGGAGATATAAAGAATAGACATACATGTAATTGGCTAAACTGAATTCTTAACCGTCATTAAGCGCTCAGAGTCGTCCCAGATGCCAGCTAGCCTCCCACAGCCGTGGAAGCTGTCCTTTGAGCGCTGTTGGGAACCCCGAGACTAGGATTTCCGATGCCCGTTGATCATCAGTTTTTCCGGGTGGAGCAATTTGTTTGGACATAAACACGATCAAAAGGTTGAGTTTTGTCGAAAAGTTGCTAGGGATTCGTAAATAGCTGGAATGACCGTAGTGATGATATCGGAGTAGATCAGGCCTTTGCTAAGAGATCAGGGCTTGCTCAGGGTTTCTGCCGCATTAAATTATCCTTTTTAGCCTTGGCACTTGAAGGTCGGAACATTCGTCATTGCGAGTGGCGGGTATTACTGTAAAGGACGATGAAACCGTTTGAGCGTACACTTTGTGATGCACATCACCACGAGGGGTTCCACATGCTCTGGAGCCTATAGCTGCTTTGGGACACTATTAAAGGCGCCAACGGTACCCAAGTCACAGCTTGTACCGTTTGCAATGTCTTCTTAAGCGCCTTGGGCGCTTAGTGCCGGCAAGGAATTGAGTTATGCCACATATGTTTGTATCACTTCTCGGGACTGTTGGGACATCAACCTAATCTGGGCATGAGATAGATACATGTCGGACTTTCATGACAGGTCACCTGGAAATTTGTCTAGGTAAGGCTGTACGGGCGCAGTGTAATAGTTCTTTCCCTTGTTATAATAGTGGGGTCCGAGAACTGCATAAGCATCCCATCCCAAACAACCCATGACAACGAACTAAGTGCCGCTTCAAATGCTCTACTCGTTCAATGGCACCTTCAGGAATTTCCAAGAACAGGTGAACGACTTGGGCGCAAAACCAGGTGCGTCAGCATTGATACGTAAAGTTGTTACTCATTATCCTTGACTACCAGAAAGGAGTCCATGTAGCCATCTGAAAAGAAGGCCTTGAAATTCCACGCAGCCATCTTTAAGATGTCGCGGGGCTTTCAAGGCTCTTGACAGCTTATCAGACAGCGTGACGTACCCCTTAGACGGGCTGTGCGGGTATCGGGAATCCTCGACGCTTGTTCGGACGATGACAAACATGGCGCATTCTTGTTTTCCGCTTTCATGGACGGTATGTTCCTGTGTTTTTGACCATTGAGGACCAATCTATTTGAGCTGACTGGTACTCGACAAAAGCAGTGGCTTTAGCTCTCATATGCCTCAAGGCACCTTCATTCTGAAACCACCCAATCACGGCCTGAGTTGGGCCTGAGTTGGGCCTGAGCGATAATGGTATGTTATTTTTTGAGAACATACATGCTGGAGGAGCATTTTTATCAGACACTTCGGAAACTATGTAAATGGCAGCACATATTCTACTTGGTATCTCCATGGCAGGCACGTATATAATGGTGTAGGCTGAAGTTGGCAATACAGAGGTCATATTTCATGCTGTCTAACCAATTTATTTGTAGGTCAGTGCAAGCGTATAGGTGTCGACAACCTGGTCAATAAAGATACTACTGTATTTCTGAATATTTTGCAGTCTATTTGTAACCACTGATGAGCCGGGATACTGAGATGTGAGTCATAATCTCATTTCCCGCATCCGTCTAACCAAAAAAACATAACATGTGAATTGTACATGTATCTAGACCCCCGTCACGTATTGATCTTGCATGAAACGACTGGTATACCCCTGAAAATAAGGGATATTGACTCGTCCACTTGTTCTTTGATGTTTCTGGAGTCGTTTTCAAGAAAGGTCAGTATATGGTGTACATTTCATACTCGTGCATATGCTAAACAGGCCATGGACACAGGTCAATATGTGCGCCTTGAGTTAGTGCACTCCATTGTCCCCTGATGCTAGGATTGCTATTCAGCTATCACAGTCTGTGATATCTAACGATTTTGGGACATTTATCGCACACTGTGATTTTCTTAATTCATGTTCGTGGTAGAACCGATATTTTAGCGCCCATTTAGCGCCCCCGCTGCATGTGTAACTCTTTTTGGATTTGACCTTTATGGCGCGTCGCACAGTATCAAGGGAAGGGGAATAATTGACGATAAATTTCCAGACACTCAGCCTTCCTCCTAAAGAGCACCTTAGACATGAGATGGTGTGTTCAATATTCTGTGAAACATTGTATGTTCGGCACTGATTTCCCGCAGCCTAATTCCTCTCCAAGTCATATCATCATGGAATGAGGCAAGTAATAGGGGTATACTATGCCATCATACTGTACATATGTACACGCATTTCCGACATACCAATATAACCATAATTTCCAGGAAATTCGGGGATATGTCATGATGGCAACCAAAGATCAGATTCACAGGTCCAAGGTCTTATGGAATCCGAGCCGTAAGTATGGTTTGTCTGAAAAGACACCCATCCTCGGGCATCTGAAAAGACATTGATCTCGCGATTCTGTCAGCAAGGTACAGTGTTTATTACCCCTATGGTTTCCCCGCTCATCCCATCTAAGAAAGGCCAACTACTACAGCCTCATAGGTGCTATTCACCTGTAATTGATGCCAAAAGTCATCAAACAAGACGGAGAGATAGAAAGAGCAGGTATCCAGGGATGGAATCTGTCTTTCTGTACTTCACAGGCGTCTTATAAGCTGTCAAGGGTCTTAGAAGCCCGGCGACATCTTAAAGATGGCTGCGTTGAATTTCAAGACCCTCTTATCAGATGGCTACGTCCACTGTTGTACCAGACTATGGGGCGCCCCGAGATGTCTATAGCGAGGCAAGCTTTGCAAAATGGCACACTACTGTGCCTTCACCACGCCAAGATTCCTCATTCAATCCTAACTCATCTGTGTCGACTTCCAAATTTACGAATACACGTCGTTCATACGCTCAAGTGGCCCAAAGGATGATGCAAACACCAAGTCTGACCAATGCAGTGAGTGCAATAATCATGCATCTTGTGGCGAGTATGCGCTACCAACTTGAAGGCATCATGGGGATGATTAAAAACCATAATAACGCACAGGTGTTCTGGCTTTGAATAGATGAGGAAAGAGCAAGCTGCGCCTCGAATCTCGCTATACCGTTGACTCAGATATCCTCGGGTCAAGGGTAGAACGAAGAGAAAATACATGAACAAGAAGGGTGTGGTAAAATTTTCAAGTTACAAACCATTCACACCGTTGGTGAAATGGTTATCACGATGCTTGTCTTCCATCGCATGTATGCGAGCAGGCTGCGCGGGTTCATTTCCCGAACGGTGTCATGAGTCTTGAGCCCGATTCTTTCCTGGTGTTTCTGTCATAGCTCGAAAGCGCGCTGCAAAACCGATATGTATTCAAATCGCAATCAAGCCTCGAAACATGAATATTAATATTAAACGCCCGTGCACATGGAACAGAAACCTTGAGCTATGTATTGCGGCTAACGTGGCACGGTCTTTCACTGGCTTTTGACTTAAGCTTGACCTTCTCTACTGGCGCTACTGAGAAACTGTAGGTTGTACAGCCTCTTCCTCTGTTCGTTTATCCACAGACTGAAGCCGACGCATGGGGGTTTCGGCGCGTGCCTAGGATGACGTCATGGAACCCTATGCCCTGGGATTCTCGTCGTTTCATTTTCTTTCTTCAACCACGACCACGACTCCCAACCTTCGCTGACCTAGAGGTAAGCCTCTTTCGTCTTTTCATCCACGTGTGCCTCATGAGATGACTTTCTAGGACACACTACAACGACGCCTGTCCTGATGGTTCGACGATCGCAGGTACGTATCCTTCGTTTTGGCGATGATTGGTTGCTTATCTTGATAAGCTCCAGCTTCCTTTTTTCAACCACGAAGACACGGTGAACGTTCCTCGGTACAGGTACTTTTCTTGTATCCCTCTCGTTTGATTCGTTGGCTCATTGGTTGAATTAGGGCCTAGGCATATATGTCCTCTCCGTTCTAATGCCTCCAGTCGCCCAATGTTCAACCGTCACGCGTTTAAAGCCTCCCGTCATATGAGGAAAATGAACTTCAGTTGTCGCCAATCCATCCACACCCACGCCTGTACATCCCTTCCTCCTTCAACCATATCGTATCAAATATCGACACTTCCCCCATTCCCTTGGTATCGTTCGGTTGTCTTGCGGATTGTCAGCTAGTCACGTTACGGCTGTAGAAGTAGAATAAGAGGTGCTGGATCTGTTAGTACAGGGATTGGGTACGGAATGCTGCCGGATCATTGACGACAACGGTGACGATGACACCGACCATATTCCAGGAAGACTCGAACATCGACACCCCTTCTTCACCCCACCCTTTCTCCCCGTTACACCCCATACTCCACTCCTATGTTCTCGTCCCTTGAGCGAGCGGATGGTTTGCGGTGAAAGGAATCACACGTTTACCCCTCGCTTCACCTACTCTCCGCACACACATCTTCACTCTCTTCTCGCACTAGGTTTGCACGAGATGGCTATGGTATCAGATGTTTTGGTTGAGGGGGCGGAACTCAATGCACCCACCGCCCTATCGTTCCCAGAAAAGGTCACCCACGACCGGGCTTTTGGACTTTCGGGTATTACATACACCCCGGTTGAGAGGTCGGGAGCAGGCGAAAGAGGCTGTGTATTTGACTGTTGGGGTACGTCTTCCTCTTTGACTATCAGAAGTTCGCAGTCTGATATACTCGGTACAGGATACCAACACATGTAGCTCTACACGCCGCTTTCTCCTCCCGACACCGTTCAGGCCCTCTTAGTCGTAGACGGAGAGACAGAGAGGCTACTCGATACCTTTATCGTTGATCGCAGGACCGAGTGTTCATATTTATGGGTTGGTGAATGTGTGGCGTGCGAGGATGAGTAACACGCTGTTGGTGAAGTGGTTATCATGATTACCTTCCATCGAGAATATCGGCAAAGAGTTTCGAGCAAGCGGCTCGGGTTCGATTCCCGAACGGTGTATGCGTCGACTACTTCACGTATTTTTAATATCGTCACCTCCATTAATGGACGTTTTCCATTCGCGATTCCCTTTTTCCCGTCCGCAGCAGCTTCTGTCGCATACACCACACGTCCTCCTTTTTGGTGTACAAACCGCCGGCTTGTTCGGATGGTTGTGATACGTATAGATCACAGCCACAGTCGGAAGACATTTGTGGCTCTGCTAAATTATCCATTTGACAACTATCTTTCTCTTTTGGAAGACATATGCAAGTAGCTGATTCCTCGGAGATTGGCAGAAACATGATCGTTATCATATCGCACACAAGTGTTTGTGGATCTCATTAAATTATTGGAGACCTCATGTACCTGGGAGGTATGTCACGAGCTTCTTTCTATCCCGCTGTGAGTCGTACTTTCGATGGTTCCTGATAATATCTCCACAGCTTCACTCAAATCCTTTCCGAGGTTCTAATATTAATCCTGTGTTGTAGGGGTACTTCATTTCGGGGATTGGATGGTGTAGAGGACTCGGTCCTACGTACTCATGCTGTTGAGGTACAGTATTTGATTTCAAGCCTATGTCGGAGCTCTTCCGTAGAGTCCTGGAGGATGTTCTCCCGAAAGGTGTGAAGTCGGTTCTCTTGGGTCGGAGCATATTGGTATTCCAGCGTCTACACCGATTCGTCATGGTGCCTTAAGTGACATTACGGTGGTTGGAACCTTTGCTTTGTTGCCAGATTGTTTGCGTTTTCTTCCCCAGTGTATCCTGATTATAGGCCTTCTAGGCTTCGATTCTGCTCGTCGATACTATCATTGGTATGAATAGCAATCCTTTTGGTATTACTTCCGAGTCTGTGTTTTAGGAACCCTTTACGTCTCTCGGGATGGCGCAGAGTTCGGGATCCCTCGTGGTTCCGGGTGTGCGCCCAGGGTGCATGACATTCCTGGTCCGGATCGTTCGTGGAGTATAAAAGCAAGGTGTGTGTTCACCGTACTTCACTTTTCATTGGTATGAAGACTTCAATCTACATCGGCTCTGGTACGTACCAAAGCGCATAGTGTTGAATTGTTACTCATATAAATATAGCGACAGAGAACTTGAAAGATACTCTCCGATATCGCTGGGACGACTTTTGGGTACGTGTTTTGTTCGCGTTCAAGCTGACTAGTGGCTGATGAGTTCGCGATACATAGCCGTCCGGCTTGGACGATGAACATGAGAGGGGATGGAGGTGGCGTGGAGGACAGAAGGTGCTCAATCGTAAGTGAAGATCGACGATATACACTCTGATGTCTGATATTGATCTTGGGATAGAATGTGCCGAGTTGTGCAAATGGTTTGGTGGAAGGTTGGCGTGGGGCGTTTGATTTAATGAAGCTCAAAGCTGTGAGCTCTCGTCGTACCTTATGTTTCTGTTGATATCATAATCAGATTAATCACCTTGTTGAGTATGTTTCGTGTATGTCTACGGCGCTTTGTCCGTAGGGATCGAAATACCCGAAGTCACCACTACAGTATCGCCTGTGGTGTCGAAGTCGAGTTCGTGATCTTATGCTCGTGTTGATCACTGCTTTCATTGTAAACCCACAGTATCGGCTAAGGCCTCAAGGTAGCGATATTGTGAGTTTCATCCGAGTCGTGATCGTTGGTGATTCCGTATAAGGATCCGATCTTATTATAAAGACAAGCCCCTTGAACTCTACGGCGTTATCTACCAATATATTGACAAAACCATAGCTATCCTCGAAAACTGTGACTTGATACATGAGTGAATACTCTCGTTACAATGCGAATGGATGATCTCCTGCATTCAAGACGCATACATCTGCTCTAACGTCCATTCCCAGAACTATAATAGTAGCACACTAGATGATATGATCATGAATGCAAAGTCGTGAGATACGATAACACGAATCTCAATTCCATGACCTAAGTAATCTGCACGCCGGCCACGGTCGTCTTTCTTTTGACCTTTGAATTGAGAATGTGGAGACTGCACTGCCAGTGCGACTCGCACACGGGAAGCACCGAAACATACGCTCGACGCATAGGCGCACGAAAATCCTACATGTAAACCATATTGGATGTATCGCACGATGATATAGCCCTTACATGGTTTATCCTTCGATAGGTTCGAGGGACGATGTTGAGCGGAAATATTGGTACTTTCCGTGTGTCGTTGAAGGTAGGGGGGTGGAGTACTGTGAAACAATATTGCTGAACCAATTCTAATTTGATACTGATATATCATTGTAACTGATATCGACGTATGAGACTCTCGGTGATGTCCTGCCCGCTGATGAGGTGGCATGATGCACCAATTCTAATGTCTGGAAAGAAGGCAGTTCTGCCATTCAACCGCCGCCAGCGTAACACCAACGACTCAGAAGAATGAGGGGATTGTATGGACCTCAGGGGAATTCGCATGAATGAATGTCGGTGGATTATTAACTAAACGCTGTGTACCCCCTATGATATTACTGAGAGGTTGGGGACGCTCGGTTTACTCAGGGCTTCGGCCACATGAAAGGTAATTATCGTTTTAGACTTGGAAGCTCGGAACTTTCGTTATTGCGAGCCCTTATAGTACTGGAGAGGCCGATTGAATCGTTGGAACGTGCGCTTCTTGGACCACATCACCACGAGGTGAACCACATGCTCCTAAGCCTATAACTACTTTGGGATGGTATTACAGGCGCGCGCTCAAGTACAGCTTGTACCTTCTGCGGTGTATGTGTAAGCGCCTTACTAGGCGCTTGTGCCGGCAGAGAATTCAGTTTTGCCACATATGTTTGTATTACTTCTCAGGAATATCAACCTATTCTGTGCGTGAGATGCATACCTGTCAGACTTTCATGACAGGTAATCTGGAAGGTTCTCTGGTTACGGCTGTACGGGAGCGGTGTGGTAGGTCTTCCCCTTGTTATTAAGTGGGACAGCTGCATAATCATCTAAACCCCTCCCAACCCAAGGAACCCGCAACAACAAACCAACCGAAAACGCTCTACTCGTTCAATGGCACCTTCAGGAATTTCCAGAGGCAAGTCGACGCCTCAGACGCGAACCCAAGTGCGTCATTACTGATCTGTAAAGTCATCGTCACCTATTATCCTTGACTACCAGACGTCCGAGCGCCCTGGGACGTCTATAGCGAGGCAAGCTTCACACAATGGCATGCTGACTGTGCCTTCACCAGGACAAGACGATACGAACCAGAGGCACATCCAATCCTAACTCATCTGCGGAGACAACTAAATCCTCGACTACACGTCGTTCATACGCTCAAGTGGCCCAAAAGATGATGCGAACCCCAAGTATGACCAACGCGGCAGAGATTGTTCATCGTCAGCTCCATGCTAGTGTATGTTGTTTCACAGGGTCACATTGTCTTCATCGCTGAATACGCACATAGGGTTATTCAGCAGAACCCACTACAAGCAATTCGGAAAGATTTCCGGCGTTTCCACCTGCTTCTTCCAAGACCACTCATATTCAGAATTCCGACAAACAGCCACCTCGTTCCACAGATCCCACCCCACATACGGAGTCAACGATAATAGAGATTCAAGATCCCGGCGTTGCTCAGAGAAGACAAAAAAATGAATTAGCTTTAGAATCGGTAACGGTGAAACGCGAGGTGACTTGGTTCCTCTGTTCAACATCATCGCGTTGTGCCTAATGATACCTGTAGCCTGGCACTGGTTACGTCGATCTGGATACAGGGATAGAAGTGCACTGGAGAGAACGATACAGACCCGGATATGGAGTGGATATTTGTACATGCAAGACCACAAACACTTCTGCTTTCCAAAATGATCTTCCCGACATAGACAACTCGCCTCGAAAGCCACGGCGAGTGGAAATAGTTCACTCACTCTTTGTCGTAGAGACAGGAGAAGCTTTCGCAGGTGGCATAGGACTCTCAGCTTCGTTGAGCACAACCGGTGTTACGGCTGGGCACATTCCGATGGAGACGAAAGCTCAATTGCTGTCTATGACTTCCACATCAGCGTCTGCAAAAACGTTTATTGTTTATTGCAAAGCCATTGCGGAGTATAGCCCGGAATACTTCCCGAGAGGTGATATCCCGTGGAAGGAGGAGACACAAAATCAGTCCTACGATGATTTCAGGAGACACTATGGGGAGTATTACATTGCTGGGTGCAAGTACACTTCCAGCTGTGAGATTCTAATTTCGTGCCAGTACGTCGTTCCTTTTCGACTACTATATAGATAGTACTTAAGTAATGGTTCTTCTAGGATGCACGATGAAATTGATACCAAACAATTACAAGCTGAAGCCCGAGCCCAGCTTTGGTCGATTCTCATGGTCGACGGTGGCTATCAAAAAATGAATGCGCATACAATGAAGTCTACAACATTGGACTATGCTCTCAAGAAGAAAGGGTGCTCCAAACTAGAGCTTCACCCCGATGCGACCGAATCTATCCCGGCAATTCTCGAAACTCTACTCCAGAGTGCTCAAGGAGAGAAAGAAATAGCGTACCTTAATCACTATAGGTGAATAACGTCTCGACTCTCTATCTCTGAGCTAACAATTCAACAGTACACTCGACTCTACCATCCCGCGCACAATAGAGAGAATTCATATTGATTTGTTCTATCAAATGAACAAGATCGACAAGGATTACAACATAATTCAAAGCTTTCTGAAGCATCCCGCCTCTTATAGATCCAACGCCGAACGTGCCGGGATAGTCAAAGCGGTCGAAGCGTATGAACAGTACAAGAAAGATCCAGCTCGCCCTCCCGTATTGGACCAATGGGGTATCTTATCAAGGATAGAAGCCGATTTCGGGGCGCTGGTCAAGCTCAGATCAGATTGGGAAGCTGCGTACGAACTTATGCGGGACATGAAAACCGTGAACCTTGATGTTAGGTTCTTGCCTCCGAATGGTGCTAGCCAAGAGTGTCGGTGGGAATGCGGCAAATCCATGAACGAGATATTGGAAGCGAAAAGAGATGCCCGGGGGATTCAAGAAGTAACGTTTAGGTC